GAGAGAGAGAGAGAGAGAGAGAGAGAGAGAGAGAGAGAGAGAGAGAGAGAGAGAGAGAGAGAGAGAGAGAGAGAGAGTGGGGAATGACATGCGGGAAAGGAGACACGGGTCGGATTCTAACCTGGGTTACCCGCCTGGAGGACCACAGCCTCCATATAAAGGGGCGCGTGCACTAACCACTATGCTGCCGGCGCTCCTTTACCTGACATTTACAGTAGACTCCCCCCCCCCCCCCCCGCCCCCCGAGACCCCTGAACTTTATGACTATAAATGAAAAAAAAATATGATTAATTATTGATATATTCTTTAAAAAACAAACTTTAATGGATATGAATTAACTAATGCCGCTTCTTCAAGTTAGATACATGGAGAAGGAGAACATTTATTTATAAAAGATTCAAACACGGTACCACTATTGTCAAATAAGAAGTGAAATATTCCGTTTTTAAAATACATTCCTAACAAGACATTCCTAACAAGATGTCCATTTTTTTATTTTTCAGTTGCAGTTATTCAAATGCTCATTTGCATGACGGCACCGATACAAGCAGGTGAGAGAAGCGTGCCGCCCCGAGAAGGGGAGAGAAAAGGCGATGAGCGAACAAACAGGTCATGAACTGGATTTAAAAATTCACCATGCTACAAGTACACGGTATATGTTTTAGCTTAGCGAGCTGTCAACACAGCCCCGGGGACTGTGTGTAACAAGTCATTTGCAGGGAAAGAAGTTTGAAAGGTGAAACAGAAGGTGAACGGATTGAGCGACTGGAAACTGTGCAGACACTACAGAGGAGAGGGTGAAAACGGCAACAGAAGGAACTGATTGTGAAATAAGCCGAGACAGAGCAGAGGAGATGATTACTTTCAACTTCTGACATTTGTAATAATTTCCCAGCCAAATAACACAATCTTATTGGTGTGTGCAGTGTTACCTGTCAAGCTGTAGGTTTCCGTACTGCAAATTAATTGTAGTACAGAGAAGTTATTTCATTGAAAAGAAGTACTTAACAAAAGCCAGAGTCTTGTCAGGAACACAACCACAACGGTTGTAAAGACCAGCGTCAGCAATCCTGAATATGGCAGTTTAACAAAAGGGGCAATTACATCAGTGAGAAAAAAAAAAAAAGCCTTGTTTGACTAAACCTCAAATGATATTGGCTTCATTGCAGGGCTAAGATATTCGTCCTCATCCCATCATTGTTCTAAGCTGTCTGAAATAGCGTGGCGAGGCTGGATGTGCTCCCCAGATCATGACAACGATTAATAAATAATAACGGTGAGATCAGGGGGACGTCGCCGAAGGAGCTATTTATAGCCGCAGAGCAAATTTAACCTTGACCTCCTTTTTTCACAGCGACTGCCCTCGCCTTCCTCGAGCCAGAAGTCAAACATCATATTTTCACACTTTGGCGTCATCTCATAACTCTGACTTACGTATGAAATATTCAAATGCTGCTCTGCCTGCTGTAACAGGCAGTGAAATTCCTCATCAGGAAGGCTCACAGACTGTGTGTGTGTGTGTGTGTGATTTGTTTCAGGGAGGATGTGCAGAAACACCTCGTTATGGATAATGATAGCCGTATCATTACTGGTCGATACGGATCGGATTCCAGTACTGGGCAACTTCCATTACTCCTGAAAATGCAGTGTCAGGTAGGAAATGATACAGTAGGGTACTGTACAATAAGATACGATACGATACGATGTGAAATCACTTATCGCACAACATCTTAAAAATAAAAATAAAAAAACATAAAGATCAGAGAAACATTAGAAAAGATAAAAACATGATGACACAGTTGCATAAACCAAACTGGCTTTATATGCGATCCAGCAGGTGTCGCCCTTGAGCACCAGCATGAAACCAAAACAACTCGCGCTGCATTGTTGTGTTAGCATGCTAATGCTAGCGATCTTTATTATGCTGGTATCTTCACACTGCATGTAAATTTACCTGAAATGAGCGTGATCTAGAAACACAGTTAAGCAGTGAGTACAGTATGTTATTCTTCTTTTCTCTAGTCCCTCAATTAAACAACTTTTATACACGAGGGGAGGAGTCAGCCGGCCGTCCTGGCGATGTAAACAAAGTGAAGATAGGACTCTGAAAACATCACAGACAGTGGGACTCGGGTGTTACACCCATTGTAGACAGTCATGACTCACAGAGTTATTTTCAGAGGATATACTTGATTTATATTATATTTAAGTGTGAAAAATCACAGATAAAGCCTTTAAGAAAAAGTGTTCTAAGTTTTGATCAAGGTGGGCACAAATAAGTTTTTGAAATGGTTCTGTGTATTTGAGGACTCTGTTTCGTCTACCAGATGGTAAGAGCTCCTTCTCAGAGTGGAGGATGTGAGAAAGGTAAGCAGCGAGCATGCTAGCTAATGCACCGCTCCAAATGTTTGTCATATAAGTCCCCCGAAAAGCTACATGTTGAAAAAAACTAGCAAAAGACAGTTTTTTCAAACACGTATTTTATTGCATAAGACCCGTTCTCAGAATTAAACTCAAGTGTTGTTAGAATGCGTATCAGGAAGGACAGAAATGATACGAGGACATCTCCTTATTGTATCATATTTGGCTCTGGGCAAAATCTAGCAGCTCTAAAAGGTGCATGAGAAGCAAGAGAGAGTCGATCTTTTAGGCCCTCTGTGGAAAAAGACTTGAATGTGAGTCACCGTACGATGTGCGTGCATCTGTATATACGTGTGCCTGCACAGGTGTGCACAGGGAGCAGAGCAGGCAGGCGAACAGACAGGCGCACCGGGTGCCTGTGAGGTCAGGGGCTAGGTGGAGTGTTAGCAGGAACGACACCTGACAGCAACTGGGTGGATGCGCCCTGGCAGTTCTGTACATTCATGTCACTACCGATAAAAGTCAGCACCTGCTGAGCAGGAGAAACTACAGTGCCGGTGCCGCGGGGTCCTCCATACAGGACAAGGAGAGGAGGATGAGAACACTTCCTTCCTGCCTGTCCTTCTCTGTCCCTCCGATGCTCACTGAGCAGACGAGTCGGGACAGCTGTGATGGCCGTCGGTTGGGCAGGGGTGAAGGTGCCAACCTTGTCAATGCCGGAGGTGGGAGCAAAAGCTGCACGGCAGCGCCTGATTTGGGCTTGGAAAACCAAACCTGGATGCCTCTCTTTTGGTTGTGTAACCGCCAAGGGCAAACGGAAGTCTACAGAACTTTCTCTGTTACTGTAAATGTAGCTCGGCGGGTACATGTGTCTTACTCGGGAAAGCAAAACAACTTACTAAGGTGGAATCTTTTGAATGGCTCGGTGTGGAAGAGGAAACAAACATAAGGACCAACACATTTAAACAGTTCGGGGAGCTTCATCCAGTGCTGTGGATTCCTCTCACTGACCCAAAACATTAACACAGATTAAAAACTCAAACTGAGCCTCGTTCAGGGTGAGGGGGGGGGAGTCTGTTTTTACAATATGAATATAATGTATAACCCTATGAAGATATGTAATCAAACCACAGTTAAATAAAAAAAATAGCTCTGGGTCTATTTGACTGACTTTGTCTTGTCCTGACAAGTCTCAGTTTGTATCCTCTTTTCTGAAGGAGCGTCCTAACGTGGTTTACGCTCAGTCTGACAGCGTGTCAGTGTTTTCAGCTACATGTCAAATAAATGTTTCAAAATCAACTCATTAAAATTTTTTGCTCTCAAAGCTGCTTTCAATTTCCTGGACACCAAACTGTGGTGCACGTATATTGGAGTGTGATGCTTTTCTAATGTCCACTATGTAGCTGATAATAAGCCAGATACTGCCACCTAGTGTTCAAATGCTGGTACACACAGGGAACCCCCCCCCTTTGTAAGCAGTACAATGTCTGCATGTCCTGCATATTCCTAATGCAGTTAAAAAACCTAAATAAAGTTTAAGTCATTTGAGCAGTGGAACAGCAACAAAGAATGCATCCTTTCAGTTTACTTAACATGTTCGGATGTGTTGTGATTGCAAAACAGCCCCAACACTCTCCCCCTTCAAGTTTCCTCTGAAAAAGAGCTGATCTGCAACTTTCCAAAAAACCCCAGAATGAAACGGAAGCAATTGTCCAATAGGAGGGGGTTGTTTTGCCCAAATTTTGCGTTTCTAAATGACTGAAAATTGAGGCCCCATCGGCTCGCACGCTTGTAAGCAAAAACAAACTGAGCACGTCACTGTGGTAATGGGTTGTGGAAAAACGTCACCTTCAAGAAGCGGGGGGGTGTGGAGGAAGGGAAGTTATATATTGTGTGTGTGTGGGGGGGGGAGGAGGTTGGGTGAGGGGTTTGGTGTGGCAGGCAAACTTGGACGCATGTGCTGCAAATTAGTCTGGGTTAGGAAGCCCTTGTGTTGGAAGGAGTAGGAAAGAGTACGGGTGTTTCTGCTCGGCTGCAAACTCCTGCACCTTTTGGGGGGGGGGGGGGCTTACTGACCTGGGTGCGAACGGAGGGAGAAAGACGGCAGGGCTGCGATGAACACTTGCTCCTTCTCTCCCTCTCCCGCCCTCACCCCTATCAGTAGCCCCCTGGGGAACCCTTGCACGCACCTCTACGCAGCCTCTGTATATTCACTCCCCATGTGTGGGTCTTCAATGGCTCTGCCCTCATATAGGGCCTCTTCCCCCCTCTACATGTGTTTGAGGCCCTCCGTCTCTCCCCGCGCAGCCACTGTTGGAAAGCTCTGCTGTGTTTCTCTCAGGGCGGGAGTCCTCATCCAGACTGAAAACAAGCACACAGGGAGACATCTCTTCTCTTGGAATATTCTCACTTTTTGTTTCTTGGTTCATCAAATACACGCATACTAGAGACAGAGTCTACTCACCATACTGTCTGTAATAAAAAGTAACTTTGTTCTTCTTCAATGGAGAAAAATGGATAATGTCTAACCTTTTAATTTAAACTTCTGCAAGCAGGAAACTGAACTTTACGGCATTAAAAAAGGACTTCACAGGTTCTCTCTCCACACTCATAAACAGACACCCATCATTCCTCTGAACTGAAGTACTGTGCTGCTTTTTGACACAGATTGGGAGTTTATTCACACATCACATACTACAGTGGGTAATGTATTCAAGAAACATTGAACAGCGCTGCCACATATGACACAGGAATCAAACAAACCAAATAAAGAAGAAGACACTGAACCCTTTCTTCGCCGTTATATAAAAATAGTGTTGCTACAAAAGTATAAATTAGGCTTACTAATAAGACAACTGAGATCTGAAGCTACACAGGAATCTGCTGCCAAAGTGCGATAAAAAAGACCAAAAGAAAATAAACAACAGAGAATAAAGATCCAACACCATTTTTTTGCATTTTAGCAGAGTATAAAAAGGAAGTAATGCCTGTAAAGTAGGATGAAAGCAACACTAGTTTCTTAACCTGAATTGATAATACAGACTATAATCCAGAGTTCAAACAGAAAGCATCTCCATGTTAGCATTCTTATACCATATTGTTTTTACAATTATCATCTGAATAAGTTAAAATCCTGAAACAAAAGAAAACTTACAGCTGGATAATAACAGTATCTAAGTTGAGTTTTCTAGTATATCAAAAAACCTTTTATTTTGAAATGCTACTGTAGAAAATAGAGGTATAATGTTATTGGTGTTCCCTACTGTATCTTTAAAATGAAGGCTCCCCCTTGTGGCATAAAAACAGCAGTTCTTCTGTATTTACATATCACATCCTCTGAAAATGGATGATGTCAACCCGGAGACAAGAAAAAAAAATTCAAAAATAAAACACCAACCCATGATGAGCGTCGCTACTCCCACCTCGAGAGGTTCTGAATCCAGCCTGGGGTTGCTTCTCTGTCTCGGAGTGTTTTTTTTTTTAAGAAGTCATAAACCAGTGTTTCTCATCAGATGTTATTGAACCATGTTTACTTTATATATCAGCAATCTAATAAAAGCATGCATATCTTAAGATATAATTCTCATTAAATCAACCCAAAAAAGAGAAGCTATTTCTGAGTGGAATTAGGTTGACATCAATGCGTCAACAATGGCATTTAGTCCCAGAGTATATTCTATTTAAAATACTTATTTAAAAAGTGTAAGAAAAATCCCTTCATGAGTTCAACTGAGCATCACGGCTTGAACAAATGTACAGTATTTTGACTAGATCTTTTGACTAAAGCTTCAATTTGTATCACCAACTGATTTCCAATCTTTAAAGGACAACATTACCTTCAGAGTATACCGAGGTCAAACATCAGGACCGGTGCTTTGAAATCAAGCAAATTTAAAATACAATTTACAGCATTTTGTTTTGTCTTTTTTTTTTAACCAAAATATAAATGTGACACAAGTCGGTTTGAAAACAGCAGAGTACAGATTGATTTCAGGTAAGATGATCACGTTGACATAAGAAGTCTTTCTCAAAGCATACAGAAGAAGAAGAAGAAGAAGAACAGGTGAACTGTTTGAACCTGGATAAACAAAGCAACCCAAACATTAAACTTCCATTCAGAAACTTTGAACGTTTTAAATCAACCCCTCACAGAGTAACTTAACACCCTCTGAAAATGTTGTGTTTACTGACCTCCTGTGGTTTAAAGCTGAAGTAGGCAACATTTTTTCATACAGATTTTGGCTCTATCAACACGTTTTGATCATCATTGCATGTCAATGAACTAATTAAAATGTTCTTTAGAATAAACGTGTCTGATCTGAAACCGCCCTTTGTCTCTACTTTTTTAAAGAACCTACCCGGTCTGAATCAATCAACCAATCGGGGCTATGTTACACGCAGCTGACCAATCACAGTGACTCTGTAAAAACTTGTATGACGTGCCTTTCATACAGTGTGTCGGCAGATTTTCTCTCTCTCAGAACCAACTGAAAGCGAACAGATCTGCTACAACGCTCACCATTCATTATCTTCAGGTAAGCTAGGACCACGGAGATGCTAACCGCGCTACTTCTTTTAAAGCTTTTCTCCCTCCTTACATCCAAATCATCCATACTAAGAAAATACTGTTCCGTAATTAAACCTTTTGGGGGTCTAGTTTGTTTTTAAATGCGGCCTAAATTCGGGAAAACAAGCACTGAAGGTAGGTGGAGCTACAGGCGTGTTAGTTGCTTTGGGTTTGGCGAAAAAACCTTCACTGGTGGCGGTGCAGAGGGCATAACGGCTGTACGGCAAACACTCTTGGCTACTTTTTAACTTTTTTCTGGTCTGCTGGCAGTGTTTCTGCCCTCTGAGTCAGACTTGACTATCTTAGTGGAACAGACAGTTTGTAGTGACAACGGTCGGTGTGTCGTGAGGTCTGGTGCGTCATTTAGAGGGAGGGGCTTTTTACGTAGTGGTATGAGGTAGCAGAGGGTGAGAGGTCGAGAGGGAAGGTTTGTTTTTCTTTCCATTAGAATGGTCATGTTGCTTACTGCCACTTTAACTTCTCACCTGCCTGCGGTGATGTGCAGGTATCCTTTGAGACACTGTGACATCACTGCGGGGTGAAACAGGGCATGTTTCTAAGAATAGAGCGGAAACTTTGTCGGGGGGGGGGATCAGAGAGGTTCTTCTCATCCGGGTGTTAAGTTACTCATCAAGGAGAGAAAGGCATTTCTGAACATAAATACAAAAAGCTGTTCATGAAGGTACGGTAAGCATTTTTATAAGAGAAGACTGGACAAAGTGCGTTCAGCTGGACTAAAAATAATCTCATTTCTCTCCCCTCTCCACTCGATGCCTTTCCCTCGGATGCCCTTTAATGTCCCATGTGCAGTGTACTGACTTGCTACTTTCTGTGTCCTTAACACTTAACCGTCCCTGTAGATCATTCATGTTCCTACTGGCCGACCATGCAAATCTGTGAGGTTTACAAAGTTAACACAAGTTGATCTTTAACTTACTGAAGTCGTCACCACACAGGCTAAGACTGAAGTGTATATTTGAAATTGAGGCAGACGTGTTATATGATTGTATCTTAAGTTGAAATTGGGCCTGAAGCTTGGAAACAAAATAAGATTTGATATATTTCTGTTAATGACGAGAGTGTTCTCAGCATGTTTTTGTATTTCAATATGCTCTAAAAACAAACATTGTGGTTTCTTGTCGTACACTTTGTTTGTGCTTGAGTATAGTCATTGTTGAAATAATTCCTGATCCGTTCAATGAACAGATAGATGACTCAAAAAAAAAAAAAGAAAACATGTTCAGTAAGTTGCTTCTTTCCAAATGATGGGATTTCTAAGTATAAAACACCTTAAAAAATACCACAGATGTCCATTTTTACATTTGACCACTAGAGGTCCCTGTTTCCATTCATCAATCACAAGTCCCTTTGAGTCAAGAGGAGTGAACAAAAATGGAGGAAAATAAATAAATACAAGCATTAGAAAAGATGGTGAAAAGAAGGCCATTAAGAAGAATAAAAAGGCATGACGTCGACTCCGACTGAAGGATTTAAGGTGATCGCATGAAAAAAGACTTAAGGCCCAAAAACAGAGATGACCAACTCGTACTTGACCGATTAGTACCAAAGGCAACAAACTAAAGTACAGTAAAACTTTCCATTCATCCAAGTCATTTGAGGAGGTATTGTCTCGTTTAAATGTATACTTACAATCCATTAAAAAAATAAATAACTCGACTTCGTTAATATGCATGTGTTGACTTTCATGAATGTACTGGCAGAAAGAAATTGCTTCATCCTGAAAAAAAAAAAAAAAAAAAAAAAAAACAATAATCCCTCAGTGGTGCGTTTTTGTTTGTTTGTTGCAAATGGCACTAAATGTGTTTGGGGTGGAACGCATCGCAAAAGCCACAGTTCAGCACATACCTCGGCGTTGAGGTCACAGTTTGGTGTGTTTTTTTGTTTTTGTTTTTTTTTTCAGTACAGTGAGGAAAAAGAGTTGTGGTGCCAACGTGGGTGCACTCATTCCTGAGAAAATCCCGTTCATTTCACAAACAGAAAAAATAAATGTATCCTTTATCATAATAATAATAATAATAATAACCTGTAGGAACGTCATGAACAGTCGTTTGTAATCGGTTAAATTGGAACGTATGCCCTAAGATAAAAGCTTATTGCCATAAAAATGGAGCTTACACGAGGAAGACGACTTATATATTAAGATTGATAAATGAGGAAAGAATAATAAATTAAATAATAATAGCGTTCCTATGTGTAAGTCTTTTCTAATTAAGCTTTAAAGAACAAAAAAAAATCTCACACACACACACACACATATATGCACACAGTGGGAAGGATTTATGTCATTAGGAATTAAATCCTTGCCTACAAGCTTACCATACTGATGGCTAATAATATTAGTGCGCTTTAAGGGAGGGCAACGCACAGGAAAAAAAACACCTCCCGGGTATAAAGAAGAGTATTAATGAAACCTATAGTGGACTGTATGTGACACTGTGATACTCCTGAATTATTATCAAGCCAGACAAGATGGCCTCTAGGTGTCATTAGTGTGTAGTCCGGACATAAACTTGAAGCATTGAAGGATGATTTGTGATTGATTCATCCAATGAGTTGTTTTCATTTCCTTTTTGTTAAACCACCTGATTTACAGTGAAGCTAAATGAAATCATAAAAAAATAAAATAAAAAAATCTCAACCCAACGTCGTCGTCTTTTTTTAAATTTGACTTCATGATCCTGTCCTTTCTGTGCAAACCTGGGCTTTTGATTGGTATATCTTTTAGTTGAAAAATGTGTCAGTAGAAATCAAAAATGCATGTTTTATATTAGCCAGAATGCTAAACGTTCTGCCGCTTACAGCCTGCCATTTAAAGAGGCAGAATACTTTCGTCCCTGTTGTGCATCGTGTACAACGTTTAGCGCACAGTCTCAGAATCATGGGGGTGAAGTTGTCCCACCCATGATCTGCCATCGGAGGTGGTGAGAGAGGCGTAACAGGGGGACGAGCGATCAATGCGAAACCACCAGCGCTGTTTGTGTGTGTGCATGCCTGAGTGTGTGTTTGTGAAGCTCCCGCTGTGTGCTCACACGCTGTGCTCCTCGCGCTCCTCTCTGTGTCCTCTAACGCCTTCATGAATTATGAATTCACACACTGGGACGCCTATGTTTTGTTGTAATGGGTGCAATGTGTAAGAACAGAGGCGTTATGAAGGCAGGACTTCGTCACAGCGCTGTTGGGGAAGTCGTCTGTAAGCGGCTTTAGATTCATCAGTCGATTTATGTTCCAACCCTCGTCTATGGTCATGAGCTTTGGAAAGTGACTGTAAGAATGAGACCACAGATACAAGTAGCCTACATGAGTTTCTTTCTTAAACGAAGAGTGAGGAGCTCAGAGTCGAGCTGCTACTCCTTCACACAGAAGCCAGTTGGGGCGGTCTGTGCATCTGATTAGGATGCATCCTTGGGGGGCTGACTTTGGAGGTTTTCCTCCAAAGCCTGCAGCCCCCTGCGACACGACCCCACACATAAGCTGATGAGTAAATCTGGATTTTAATTGCTCAACTTGAATAATTAGGTTAAAAAATGTGTTTTAATCCAATAGTCTAAATTGATATTCTAAAAGTTGAATAATTACATTGAAAAAATGAATTAGTGGAAACCGAGTTCACGTTTCTAATGACACATATTTCTGCCGATACACATCTAGCAGCAAAAGAGCCCTTTCAGTTTGTTTTTGTTTTTTTAAATAAATTTTGTAACATAAACAAAAAGGAAAACATCACATGATCATGAATGTTTTATCAGCTGCTTTAAATGAAAAATGCATGCAGAGCAGCGCATGCAAATGATGCACAGCTACATATTTAGGCCACTGAAGGAAACATCTAATTGGATGTTATTTTCCTGTGGCTGAATGGGTTGCAATATGTTATGGTGGTGCATGACGATAAATCATAAACCTGGTTTAGTTCATTGTCAGAGGTGCATTGGCAGTGAGGATTCACCACTTGATTTGATGTCATACACCTACTAAAACAATTCTCAGACTTACTGCGATATCTCTTGATAATATGAAGAAGTGTTTCCAGAGGTGTATGACACGAGCTTCAAGCAGTGAAAGCTGACTTTACCTGAATATGTTGCCATCCAGAGAGAATAACAGCATTATAGCCTTTAGGCTGGAGGAATTCAAACTACTGGCCGTGATACGACTGAAACTGATCCTGCTTATTGGTGCGTCCCAAAACGAGGGAGGCATCACAAACAGGACTACCTTTTGAGATAAACCGTTCCACCCCGTCTTTTTTGTCCACTGTACTTAACAACAGTCCTTTCTCCGTAGAAAATATGGAATAAGCTGTGTTGTTTTTAAGGGTGATTGTTACCTGTACATTGTGGGTTTCCTGTAAGTATTTGTCTCGAGAAGTATATTCATTTCAAACACGTTTCAGTTTACAGTAAGTCTAAACCTACAGTATATAAATAATAGTCTTCAGTCATTGGTTGGAGGTGAAGGTTTGGTTGGTTAGGATTGGTTGGATTTTTTTCTTTTAGCCCATGTTGGAGCGAAGGAAAATTAGTTTGTTCATCTCCTCTGCGGTTACCTGCTGCCTCCTCTTCATCGCCAGACTCTGCTCACACACAGTCACACACTGGCTGCTGATGCCCACAGCGGGCACGGCGAGCAGCCACAGAGCCAGCCGAGACAGCTTGGGGAACTTGTCCCCCACCGCTGAGCTCCAGTACTGGAAGAGGTCAGGCGTGCCTTGGAGAAGAGGTTCGGCCAGGTATCGAAAAATCTCTTGTCTGACTTGGTTTGGACTCTCGCCGTTTCCGGACACCGTGCCAGTCGAGATCCCCGCTAAGGTGCCACCATTGTTTCCCCCTCCCTCTATGCGACTGATTTTAGGGGTTGGCGGGCCGTCGGTGTCGCGATCATCACCACCTGACCCTCCGCCGCCTGTCATACCTCCATCCCTGTTTTCAGCAGCCATTTCACACGCACGGGAGATTATGTCTTCATGCTGATAGGCCGGCACTGAACGCAGCTTGATTTGTGGGTCCAGGATCATGGCGACCTGGTGGGCCCGTTCAACCTAAAAACAGAGAAACATTTCAATGGATAATATGCAACTGTTAAACACCAAGGCTCCCTTTACAGGGTACTGAAGGGCAATATTATTTTTGGTACTAAATGGATCAACTGTCAAGTATGAAGGGACGGCATCAAATCTCTGGGCAGAGTTTAAACCTTGTTTGCTCATTTTTTTTGTGCTCAAATTTTGTAAGTTTTAAATAAAGTTCTTGTGCATCTTCTTTGGGTGGTAAAAAAATATTTGCAAACTATTTATTTAATAAAATTAGAGAAAGAAGGAATAACTTTTTAAAAAAGAACCCTTTGAGATATTGAGGAATTACAAAAAAGAATCATTGATTAATTCATTTTAGAATCATTATCAGCATTTGTAAAATTCAACAAAAGCAGCCAGTACCAGAAAAGCCTTCGCACATCAATATTGTTATTTATCTGCCCCTGAAATAAATTTGTTTGTTTCATCAGAAATGAAATTGCTCTTCAACGATGCAACGCCACATAACAGGTTGGACTCTGTTGCCACAATGGATGTATTAAGCCTGGCGTCAGTCACTACAGTCTAACAGTGGAAAAGATGTCCTGCTTCCAGCTTATAATTTGTGGAGACAGGAAGCCGCAATGCAGAGCTCTCATCACTTTGCTAATTTAAAGATTTAATGTGAGCAATACCTTGAAATTTTCCTTGAGTGCTTCCAGGAAGTAGTGGCAGAGTTTGCTAGCCGTCCCGGTTCCAGCTTCCCCCGCCTTTGATGTGAAAAACTTCTCCAGGCGGAGGTAGACAGGCAGCACCTGCTGTAAGGTCGGTCGCCTCTGGCTGCTCAGCTCCAGAGCTGCCAGGCGCAGAGGAGCCAGCAGACAAGCCAGCGTCCCTAACAGATGCTTGTTGAGACCTTGGAGGAGTGGAGCCGTGGCCTTGCTGCGTCCATAAGTTTCACATATGTGTTCGAAGTGGACATGGACCTGCAGGAGAGCTTCAGCCATACGATCCCAGCATGGCGGGGTGGGGCATTGTGCGAGGCTGTTCTGCGCGCCTTCCTCAGTTGTGCTTGTGGACGAGTTGTTGCTCTGTTCCTCGCGCAGGGACAACGAGGAGTAGGAGGCGATTTCTCTGCATGTTGAGAGGAGCTCAGCCAGATCGTGAAGGCCGCGAGCCTGGAGGCTGCGCTTCCCGAGAACGGCCTGGACAACGGCACCGAGAGAACAACCGGCGCATCGCAAGCATATCCTGCCCCGTCCACCGCCAAGAGGGGACCCGGCAATACCTGCCGCCCACACTCTGGACTCTGAGACATACACGGTGCGGATGTCTGACATCACAAACTCAGACAGCACGTTCTGCACCCAGTGGTGAATCTGCTCGGGCCCCTCCCTCGGCTCCGCCTCCCTCACGCCCAGCACGTAGCGCTTCAGTCTGGAGCCCTCCACCTGGTAGGCTGTGAGGACATAGCAAGCGTCTGGACCTGAGGTCTGGGAGTGGCAGGTGACGGCGATGCCCAGAGACGTGTTGGAGCCCAGAGCACACGTGACTTTGACTTTGACTTGGTTGTACATGCGGGGCAGCTGGCGCAGTGCCAAGGCACTCATGTTACCGAAAGCGTCACGGGTGGAGTAGGCTCCATGACGAGCACCCGTATCCACAAGAGTCTGCGCCAGCTTCAGGAAGTCCTTGCTGTTGAGAACGTTCAGCATTCTCAGATCTGTGCACATTACCCGTAAGAGACGCTCTGCTACCTGCTGTCGCTCCTTCTCAGGCAGTCCGTTATTCTCTGTCAGCACACACAGCATAGGGATAGATAAGTAGAGTATAACATTAAGATAATCAATCTGAAAAAGTTTCAATTACACATAAGAAAGACAGATTCTTAGGGAATGATAAGACACATGGCTGATTTCAAACTTTAAAGCTCCTGTGAGGTTGTTTTTGTCGATGTTTGATGCCCCCGGTGGACAAAGCAGTACCTCTTATCTCTTGGCTGATCTTCTCCTGTACATGTCGAAGGGTGTTTTCTAACAGAGAGCCGCATCCTGCTGTTTTTAAACAGTCAGACATAGATCACTCATTGTGAATCTTTGCTTTGGAAAATGTATAAATACGTCTATTTTTCTTCTAAGTGGGCTGTAACGCACTTCATCCGACACCTACCCCCTGACAGCTGTTACAGACGTCAAAAATTATGACAGAGAAATTGGCAGTGTTGTCGCTCATGGTGCCGGCTGCTTTTGTAGGTTATTTAGAGGCATTAATATTAATTTCAGTCTCTTTCATAACTGGGTAAAAACTCCTCACAGAGGCTTTAAAAAGAGAGATTTTGAAATATCAGTCATATTATCACTATGAGCATAAATGATATGCTTACGGCTGACGGTGTGATTTCTCTGGCTGATGCTTTGAGGCTGGATTTGTAGTTTAACTGAGGGATGGGCCGGGGTCTGAGAACCTCTCCACAGCGGCTCTTGAAGACCGGGAGCAGAGGAGGTTTTGGGAGAGTCGCCTTTGGTGTGGTTCTCGTTGTCCGCTGAGGAGGTACACAGATGAAACATCAGACATGGGCGAAAAAAACAGTTAACGGTTCAAATAGAGAGTTTTTAAGTAAACCAAATACAAAACAAATATACAACACACTGTGACTGCTCGATTCTGCTTACAGTAAAGAGTGCATCTAAAACCAGCCATGCCAGTTCACAACAACAAAAAGCTGCCACAGAATTTGCTTCCTCATTCATTTCTCACAACGGATCATCCACTAATCTAGCCGGGCGGAATAAGTCTCTGAGCAAATATGCTACATTATCAACAAGTGCAAAGTTCTTTTGTTTTTTATTTCTGAAATGTGGACATAAGTATTTTAAGACCCTTTTTAAGAAGTTGGTAACTGAGGGATTCCAACTGCATGCAAGGAAAGTGAACATCACTCATTCATTAGAGGAGAAACATTTGAACGTTATTCATTAATCAGGTAAAAATACATTTGGTGGTTACAGCTTCACAGCTATGGCCATTTGTTTGCTTCCCCTTTTCTACGTTTCATTGTTTTTTGTGACATCCTGTCATCATGACTTTCAGTTGTGGTTTGCTTGGAAATGGTGTTATCAACATTTACATACCAACAGATTCATTATTAATCATATAATCTGATGACAATGCGTTTCTGTAGTACAGACATGTTGCCAACGAATTTGTGCATTTTAGACAGTGTGCATTTTTTATTATTTAAAATTAAGAATTAGTGAGCACCGATAGCCTCGTGGTTATGTCGCGCACCCCATGTACAGAGTCCTTGTTGCAGCGCTGTGGGTTTCGAAGCCGACCTCAGCCCTTCGCTGCATGTCATCCCCCGCCCTCTCCTCTCAACATATCCTGTCTCTCTTCAGCTGTCATGTCCAATGAAAGGCAAAAAGGCCGAAAAATTGACTTTAAAAAGTAAGAAATTACATGATATCAGGTGCCTAGGACTTTTAAAAAAAGTTGGTGGTTTATAGTTTGATTTTTACTACAAACATATTGTAGCAGGTTTAAATCCTTGTATCCTGACAACCCTAGTCATATGCATGATGCACATAGGTAAAGTTTGTATCCAGCAGCCTCAGAACCAGATCTGCAACAACCCTCATTAACACAACATATTCCTTCAAACTCTATACAAGAATGCTGCGTCATGGGCAGTGATTATGTGCCTATATTTTTAATGGCAAATTATGATTTTTCTGTGATTAAAAAGACTTTAACATGCATGGCAGCAGCAGAAACACGGTGTGTTCACATTCTGCATTTGTCTTTGTCGAGCTTTAACATGCAGTAGCAGTCAGTCGTGGACTCACCGGCGTGGGACTGCATGTGCTCCAGCAGGTTGTTGTAGAACTGGAACTTGATGCCACAGGCACCACAAGTGTATGGTTCTAAAAAAAAAAAAAAAATCACACAAGGCCCAGAAGAGTGTTGACTCTTTTGTCAGAGCAGAAAATGAATACACTGCATTCTATGTCCCATCTATTATCCCGGATCTGTACTGTATCAGCAGCTCCGAATGTCAGTTTCCTGTAATTCCACGAGGTAAATATTTGTTGCTTCTGATATTTGTGGAGCCCAAATTGACTCACATTTGCAGCAAGTTGTTCTGAGAAACTGTGATGCAGCTGTTGTGTTACTGTGCCAGTGATTGCAGACGTGGCTTCCTGCTGGCCTAGCAGCTTAAGGCACTGACTGTGTCATAACAATCCTGATGTGAATGTGGCCAAGAGACTTCGTTGCATGTCTTGCCCTCTCCTTCTCCACTATATTGACAATTTTTTTTTCAGTATTTATCCAACAAATGCAGCATATAATAAACATGCTAAACATTAAAGAAATGCACAGAAAACAGTTGCAGCTTCTCTGACAATAATTGTCTAGCAAAAAATGATCTTGTAACAGTTTTAGTCTGACTATGCTTTGATTTTTATACCAAAGCTAAAAGGAGACAATCTTCTAAAAACAGTGCATAATAGGGAAACTGTTTGCACCAAACAATGACATGAGGCATGCCAGAAAAAAAAAGGGAAAAATGTAAAGGGTAAACGCATGCCAATTTCCTGTTTTTGCAGGTAGGTGGGGTTGGACTTACTCTGGGATGTAACGAAGGTACTGGCCACCAGAGGGCTCGGAGTTCCTGAAGACAAGCAGATAGGGAGGGAGTTAACACTGCAGGCACAGTGGGCCTTTTTTTTTTTTTTTTTTTTCTTCCCCTTTCTTTTTCTTGTCTATTCAATCAGTGTTCTTTGTGTTATCTTGAATATAGAAGCATACATAAAATGTGTTTTTGTATCCATGATTCAGTGCTAACATGAGATGCCTTAAAGCATCTGGTTGTACATTTTGTATCTTCTCGTGTTCCTTGAATATTGGTGAAGAAGAAAAAAAGTACACACACACACACACACACACACAAAAAAAAAACAAGGTTATGTCTGAAAGGAATTTCATCCTTAGGCTTAAAGTTTGAGGAGTACTAAAGACCATTCTGCATCACTTTGACAGTTTAGGTTTGGTTTGATGGGTTTGAATGTCCGGGCCTGTAAAAATAAGAACATTAATTGCAAGAAATCAACACTTTGAGATTCAAATCTAGCCGATTCATACACTTCAAAACTCTAAACATACTTCAAACCGATGAGAAAAGCAAAGACAAAAACAGCACAGGCAGAAAACTTTCACAGCCGTGTCCATTTTGCAGATTCTTTCCCCCCTCATGCAGGACAACGTAACCAACAGTAAGAGGCTGATGAAGGAAATCTGTTTTCATGGCCTTTAATTGCAAGTCTATTTTTGGGTCACTGCTTTGATTTGTGGCAGCTGTTATCAGAGCCAAAGGTGATCCAACATGTTATTCAACAAGGTCTCCATTTTCAGGGTCTGAGTGTGGACTGGAATAATAGAGCTCTTAGACTAGAGTTTTATATAGTAACAGTTGATGCAAGGTAGGTCACACAAACCTCTTTACATCCTCTCCGCTCCTCCTCCATCTCAATTTCCAGCCCGGGCAACTGAAAATACTTTTCACCGTTCGAGCAGAAATGATACATTTCCACACAAGTACACAAACGTCCACATAAAGTAAGTGACTCAGTGCTCACCGCTTGAATTCTGCGAGCTGTTTGTGTCAACCAGACTAGACTGAATTGCACTTTCCAGCTTCCGCCTGAATGGACTGTCTGTAGGTTAAAAACAGGAGAAGCAATGAGTGCCAAGCCAATCATGAAAAACACAGATACTTTATGTCTAATTCCAACTATGGATCCACAAAACAGTTCAAATGGAACAAAGTCAAAGATATGCAAGTTATTCATCTTAACTAGTTTGCAGTGTGCAAATTAATCTCGATAACAGCCTCGACGAAAAGGATCCCAAATGCTCATATTATGTTTAAATATGGGTTTTAATTTCTCCTCTTCATTCCATCTTTTTGACCCACTTCTACGATGTGAGTGTGCTACGCTTTAAATAGTTCTTTATGGCAGCGCTCGTCTTAGCACAAAGATGGGGGGGGGGGGAGGTGGGCTTTGCCATGAACCAAAAGATACTAAACTAGTTGGAAGAAAAAGAAAATTATTCAGGACAGCTAGAGAAGTTTTTGGTGAAGCACAGTGCTGGAGAACAATGAAAACAAGTTGTCTGTATAAAAGTACAAGGTTTGAAAACAGTGTCTGAAGATGTATCTATTTGAATTTGATCTTACTTGTTCAGTTAACTTAGAGTGTCTTATTAAATTGAGATTAGGGTGGTCTCAATACAACAATCTTAGCTTTGATAAAATACTAGTAAAAACCAAACAACATCAACATCAGTCTGATCCCACAGCAGCAAAAACTTAAGTCCCAGGCAACTTCAGTTATTTTTACTACATTGCCAATGTATGTGCATTTAAGACAGTGTCATCTGCTCTTCTTTGTCTGTTTTTAAAGAGACATAAACACAACTATTGTATCTTGTGAGACGCCAAAAGGACATGAGAGAGGGTAGTTTTTGCCGACTGGAGTGATTGACTGGACCACTCTTGCTTTCTCGCTTATTTGCAGCAGCCGTAAGATAAACATACGTCTGAAGAACTGTTTTTCTTTCTTTTTTTATAGCTTCCAAACTTTCCCATACTACAATTATTAAAGATCTGAGATGGTATTACTTTAAAACGTGGTATTCAATTCTATATCAAGATATCGGGGGGGGGCCTGTAGCTTAGTGGTTAGTGGTTAGTGCACAAGCCCCACATAAGGAAGTTAGAGTCCTCGAAGCAGGAGGACTGGCTCTCTCTCTATCCACTGTCTCTAAAATAACACCAAGGGCCCAAAAATAAGCAAAATATCAAAACTTTAGACAACTTTAAACTAGACTGAAATTAAAAGAAATGTGTGTTTCATTATTAAATCGTTCTTCAGAGCTCCTGTGAGGAACTTTTGGTTTGTGTAGACTTTGGCGCCCTCTGTGGACAAAGTGACAATGATTTTGTCCTGGACTGTACATATGTAGATAAGAGTTATCTGACAAAAAAAAACTATTATCCTGCTTTCTGTGAATAGTCAAACGTGCCACTCTGTGTGAGATTCTGCTGTGGAACATGTAAGATTCATCGGCGTGCGGTCAATCATCTCTTTCCTACCCCGCGGCAGCAGTTTCAGACATCAAAAAGAACAACATAGAAACAGTCAATCTAGTCAATGATGGTCTTTTTTTCTTTTGCAGGTCATAAAGAGTCATCAGTGTAATTTGCAGTCTTTTTCATGACTAATAAAAAAAACTCTCACAGGGGCTTTAATGTTTGTGATTCAATTATGATGTTATAGATTCCCAAGGCAATTGAAGAAGATTCATAACAAGAATAAAAAAAGTGTACAAAACATCGTCAATAAAGCTGTAAAGACTATCCACAATAGGTTCATTTCTCCCAGAAGCATTACCACAAATACATTGGCAAGGTGACCCAGAACCTTAAATTCAGCCTCCTCGTGTTCTCTTAAATCCTGTTTCCACTCGCTCAGTGTGTCACACTTCAGTCATGGCGAGCTGAATATCTAACACACCCTTACAGCAGGTCTGAGATATTACTGTGAAGGTCCCTGTTCTCAAAGCTCCCTATGTCAGTATTATGAATGTAAACCGACAGGCTGCCTTTCTGTAGTCATGCAGGCACACAGGAAATATGCCGCCATTTTAAAAAAGACATTATTCACAAGTACAGTCAATAGGGTTTTTGGTTTTCTGATCACATTCACGGGGTTGTTTTTCAGTTTTATCATCATCAAGCTATGATCAATTTCTTCCTGACTTGTTTTAAACATCCATTACACTTTGTCATGTTGCCAACCTCGGCTGGTTACAAAGCAATCAAGGTCTACATCACCAATCAGAGATATGAAATATGATGTCTTAATATAAAACATGGCTCTGGGCTCAAGGTAAAAACACACCGCCTCAAACTGATGTTAAGAGCATAATACTGATGCATTTTAATAAGCCACCACCTGGAATAGGAAGGACCATGTGTCTGCGTCTGTCGACTGTATAAGTGTTTAAATTACAAGGCATGCACATCTTGCTTACGTACAAGCATTCAACAAAGAAAAAAAAATTGAGGATAAAAAAACATGGTGCTTACTTTTTATCTTACCAGCTTGGCTGTGGCCAAATTTACTCATATCAATGCTTCCACATTCAGGTAACAGTGATGCCTTCATATCAAAGGAGCCTACATCAAAGACACATTCAAAGAGTCAGTTTGATCTCCAAGCTTATGCTTAGACTAGCGACAGCAGATGCAAAAATACAGATTTTATCCACACAAAGACATTGGTAACATAAAAAAAAAAAACTGAGATGTTCAAGAATGTTCATGAGATGATATCTTTGTACAAAGTGGCAGCCTTAAAAACTCTTTAAATCTAAAATCTTCATACCCTTGGTATCCTCACTAAAAAAAGGCTTACCCATTGGTGTGTGCAGAGCAACGTGCTCCTGGTACGGGTTGAAGTACTTGTACTGCTTCCCACAGAACTCGCAGATGTAGCTTCCCGTTTCTACAGACAAGAAAACACACAAGTCAGACATTTGGTTGAATCCAGTGATTTTCAAAACCTGTATCATATCAATTAAGATCCAGTTTTTGGGTTAGTTGTGTTGAATAAAATAGAGGAAAGGTCATTTGGTTAATAATGTCTAATTGCATGAGGGAAAAAGCAGAAGAGAGGAGGTGGAGAAGAGGAAGGAGCTTACGTTTAGCAAAGACTAAATATTAGAGAACAAAATAACAAAAAGGGGTCTCCCAGCATAGTGTGTGGAGGATGTTATCCCCCTATCAGTAGGAGTCATTAGTGAGGTGACAAGTGCAGGCTTCCCACCTGCGAAAACTGCCAATTGTGTCTGAAGGGACACCCGCTGCCGCCGGTTGAACCCACTGTCTCTGCGAAGGTGGGCGAGTGCTTTTTCGCCTGCGAAGGAGGACTTTTGGACTCATGTTCTGAAACCTTTCCAGTGTGGAGTTAGCTCATATGCTTAGTGTGACTTTTGGTTAGCGGATCAAAACCATGACTTAAGGTTGTTCATTACAAACTGTGTCCAGTGGCCTGAAATGGACACATGTAGACTTCCAGCTGTGTAGCATGTTAGGAGCAATCAAGAGGAAGATTGTTGCACCCGAAGTCTTTTTAAAAATGTGGTAATGCCATGTAAGCATACCAGGGCTGTCACTTTTTTCAAAAAAACAACTTCTGACCAATTTAGAACACGACGCGGTGATGTTTGAAGACAGTCGATTCGCTGCCGCGGTCACAAAAACAAAACAATTTAATCACTTCAATTGATTATTATATTGAGCTAGAGATAACAGGAGAGAATCTCAAAATCTTTGGACAATAAGACTTGTGTGTCTGGCAATATGTCAGTCCTTATGGTTTGACGCCTATATTGCTACAGTTTATCAACTTGACCCGGATCGAGTGCAGCTCTCTTTTTTATTCACAATATTACCTGCCGACAGGAACACCCGTTCAGAGCTCACAGCACACAAGTATTTGCGAGCCAGCTTGGAGAGTTGCAGGTATAGTTCACCCTGGCTCTCTCCCCTAAAGCAGTGGGATGCTGCTTGCAGAGAAAAGAGTCTCCCTCATGTAGGTTTGCATCTCCTGAATCGAATTTGAACGTCTCATTACAGTAAGAATTTGAACTTCGCGACCCAGGTTCGAATGAATGTTCGGATTTCAGATAAAAAGTGACAGCCCTAAAGCATACTTAGCTGTATTTCTGATTTCCCCCTCTTTATATTCAGTAAATATAGAAAATTTATATAACGATATGACAGAGTGTTAAAATGTCAAATGGTATCAGTTTAGTCAATTTCGTTCATAATTTGCTGCTAAAGCTACTTTATCTAAAGTACATCTTGTAATCTTGCTGCATTGAATGTGTGTTGAACTTAAAGAAAAAAGAGTGCATCAAACAGTCTTACTCGGTCCAATTTTCTGGTAGGGTTCAACAGGCTCCTCCTCTTTAATGCCATCCACAGGTAACACTACCTGTTCATATGGATCTGAGAGAGACAGGGAGGAAACAAGCTAATAGATTTTGATTCAAAGGTTATTCAACTGGTCTGTAAGATAGATATTATTGATATCATTAGATCCACCATGTTGTACAGTTTCTAAATCGTATTTGCATAATTTCAACATTACATTTCCTCTTTGTATTCTTGTTTTGTTTTTCACACAAAATTACATAACGTGTTGGAGTAAAAGGGAAAAGAAAATATATCTCAAAATACAGTTGCATACTACTACTGATGAGTTTCATATATAGATCATGTGACAAAAAGCCGACAGCTTAATTTTACAGTAAAATGAAACAAACAAAGAAATAATAAAAAAAAATGTACCAGGAAGTAAAGTATCAAAAGTATCTTTGCATCGTTTCCAGTTACAGTGAAGAGAAGCTGAAAAACCTCCTGTTTTTATTCTCATAGCTATACCTTTGAAATGTATTTTTCACAAATTAGCATGAAGAGAAATTCTGTAGGTACGGGCTAAGAAAGAATCCTTTTCCGAAGTGAGAACAAACCTCTTCTAAAAACTGTACCCGATAGTAGCTATATAAGCCATGCTTCTTTATTTTTTTCCCCCTGCAGAAAGGCAGCCTATTTTTCTGATCCCTTCCTCTTTAGCATGCTGCTGTGCTTTTGTTGCTGGTGCAAGAAATAGAGATTCTCCAGCGAGGGGAAAGTATGAAATGGGAAGTTCACTTATACATGACGTTCCAGTTCAGGACTCAGAGTTTCAAAGAAATAAAATATATATATATATATTGTCATGCAAAAATTCTAAATTCATTCAGGGTTACCATCAACTGCATGCAGGTCACGATGCTCCTGGAAGCAGCTGTAGTATTTATACTTCTTGCCACAGATGTCACAGGAGTACCGGAAGTTATCTGCAGATGAGCACATTGAAGAGATATGGTTAGAGTTGATCTGTGACTGATACACAAGTAGGCTCACAATGAAAGTAACCAGTATGGACAAGCAGTCATGTGTGGATGAATTCAAAACTTCATTCTGGGTTGATTTAGAGAGGAAACGAAATGACGTATTTTTGTAGGCCAACCCCAAAGTTAGCATCGCCATGGGGCCTTCCGAAAGAAGCCTATGGGATTTCTGCATTGGAAAAAAACTTCAGTTAGAGGCAAACCACCTCATGGCGCTAAAATGCTAAGATGACATGTTTGAACTGAAACTTGGACACTGCAGCTACAGAGAATAAACAAGGTTTGTTTATTTGTTTTTTAATAATGTTACTCGAGGCTGTACCAGTTGTGTAAAAGCTTCATCGTAGAGCCTGACCGATTAAACGGCCAGCCAATAATATTGGCCGATATCAGCTTATCCAGTGACTATAGGTATCGGCTAATTTAATCACAGATATGAGCCGATATTACGAGATTAATTCACCAGTGAAATAGAGTTTCATTGTTTTCGGTAGCAGTTCCCTGTCAACAGTAGAGTGTGTTATATAGATTAAAACCATCACTATCACTCTCCAGAGTGTACAGCGGTGACAGACGTACGTGAGCAGATACTTTCCAATTGAGTGACCATCTTGTCTTCGTTATATAGCTTATGAAGGTGTAAATATATAATCATCTCTACAGCTCAAAGATAGATCTAAGAAAGATATCGTCCAATTTATCAGTATTTGATTTTTTCTCTCCGTAATATCCATATTATTATCAAACCCAAAAATCCCATATCGGTCGGGTCCTACTTTATAGTGTTCTCTTTTCACTGAATATCTTCATGCGTTGACAAATGTTGTGCAATATGCTGTATGTTTGTGTTTTTCATTGGTATGTGCTTCTCTGTTTACATGTGGATTGTTTGTTATTTTAATTTGTAAGTTTGTAATTCTACTGTGGAGGCAGCTACATGTATGTAGCGCTTGGAGTCCAAGACAAATTCCCCTACGCACATCGATTTAATACGTTCAAAAAGGCAGCTGAACACCTTGTACACCTTTTTCTTGTCATACTCAATTTGCTGAAAAAGTGCCACAGAAACATTCAGAAGAAGCAGAATACTGTTTTTCAAATAATTCTACTTAAGAAAAAGGAACACTCACAATAAGATTAAAATGCAAAGGAACAGATTGGACTGCACTGGGAGAGACAGAGGGAGACTATATGAGATTAGATAAACAAGACAAATAGGCTGATGAATCCCTGAGGGACAAGTCAGAGAAGAGGTAATAATGATTTCATTATTACTTTAATTAAGTGCTTTCAGATCTCCAAATCAGAAAAGCTACAGAAAATATACGCACAAGTTCAGGTTTTTTTTTCTTCACATTTGAATCTCATGAGCAGTATTTATAGTGTATTTATTTAAAGTTTATTTATATGGGGGACAAATACGAAGCAAGTAAACTGATGCCATGCACACTACAGCATTTATAGCTGAAGCTGATTTGCATTACCTTAAAATGAAAAGTTAATTCAGAAATTATGTTTGCACTTTTTCTGGTCAGACTGTACTCTCGGCAAACTGAATCTTATAAACTGGAATGTTACATTAAAATGTTGTTTTGACTCAAATTATGCAAAGATACATTTTATATATGTGCATCATAATGCCTCTTCTTTACATATGTTAAAGTGCATTAACTTCTGGAGACATTTGTTGCCCTTTCTGAGAATATTTCTGCAAAGGGAGTGAAAGGATGATGTTTATTTGTTCTGCTCTGTCTAGTTAAGTTGCGGTGGGAAGAATTATGCAGCCAGGTGGCTTTTGACAAGAACTCCTGAAGTGCCTCTTGGCTCGGCGTAGTGAAATACTGCCTGAAGACAATCTGTTATATTGACAGCTTGGCGTAGATCAACTGTAAGACCAAAGTTAATTTCTAAATTCCTTTCTTGAATTGGTTCATGTTTAGTTTTCTGTCCATGTCTGACACACGTTACACAGCAGAAGACCGCTGAATAACACACCAATGTGGCACATTCTTGGCTGAATTCCTAAAGTATATTAAACAATATTCAAATACTGTATAAAACAATGAACACACATATAAAGGCACTTCCGTTTAGTTCCTCTTTTTTCACAACAACAACGTTTTATTCTAATCTTTAGCAGTGAGATCCTCTTCCTGCAGAAACAATCCATGGTCCTGTCAGACGTAGCAGATGAAGATGCTGGTTAAACAGCATGATTATTCCACAGGGGAACAACAAAAGACCTCACTAATGGTGCAGTTTGAGCTCACTACAAAATTCCACAGATACTTTGTTGCAGGTTTTGATGGGAGTGGCTATTGGCATGCTGACCGCAGAGATGTCGCCAGCGCTGCGTGTTAATCATTTCACCATCATAAACAGAATCCAAAGCAGTTTCAGAACAATTGTAGTAAGGGCCACAAATCTACGGACCGCTGTTTGTGTAACCCATCCAGCCCCAGACCTCCAGGTCCTGTCTGAGACCAGCCTCTCTAAAAAACCTTCAGCACCTTTGAGATTTTGCCAAACATGAAGATTCAGTTTTGACTGATTTTAAGGTCTACCAAAATGTCCTAAACTCTGTCAATGTTTACAAAGTTAAATTGCAGTTTTAGAAATAGATTTCACAGGGAGCGCTGATAGCCAAGCGGTTATTTTGTGCGCCCCATGTACAGAGGCTGTAGTCCTCGATGCAGCGGCTGTGTCGAATCCAACAACGGCCTTTTGCTTTGTCCACTTGAGGCTGGCTCCAAGAGCCCCAGAAATCAAATACACACCACAGCAAAAAAAAAAGTCTGTTTTTACAGCCAAATAATCATGTTTACAGCCTGGTACAAAAATCAAAATAGTTTCTGATTAGTTATTGTCATCATGGGCACACTCCTAAAATGTGATACTAGAGGGTGCAGAACAGGACAACACAGTTGATTTAAAAAAAAAAAAAATCATTTCCCTTCTTCACAGCAAAGACGCTTCATTGGTAACAAGGAAGTAAAGCTACGAAAGCGATTATTAGGGTGTCTAACTTTAATTGCATTTAGAACACCTCTAGGCTCCAATACCATGTTAACCTATCATTTCCCCACCAATTAACGTGATTAAAACTAATTTCCCAAAATTATTGTGTTCCTAGTATTTGTCAGTGTAATTAAAGCTCGTGTAGCATAATGGCTCCGAGCAGAGGTGAGAAGACGTCCTCGCAGTAATGATGTATATAACTGCTTGTGGATGATGCACGATCCTCTCAGGATGGACTTGTCTCTTTACTGTGACGTTTGAGTGCACTGCCTATTACACAGCCACACACAAACACTCTGAAAGAAAGCAAGGACGGTTAAAAGATAAAGCCTAATCTGCAACCAGACTTTTTTATTTAGGGGGGAAAAAAAACAAGACAAAAAGCTCAAGATGTAACAACCTTGAATATCCTCTTATATTGCTCTTTGAATAAAAGTTCAAGCATATGGATGTTAAGAGTCTTCCCACTGGGTTTGAAGGACGAATAAGAAATATTTCAGAAAGCAAGGCTGTGAAAAAATCATGTTGCTATTCAGCCCAAAATTCTATCTGGCATTTACATTTCATTTTCCCTTGATGAGCACTTAAAACGTGACATATTTCCTGCTCAAATGCCAGAACAGTTGGCATTTTTTAAATTCCACAGTACCTGCCAATTTAACTCAACTTTGATTCTCAATCAGTAAGACAAGTTTGTATTTTGGAATACACAGATAATTAATTGTAAGAGCTGTTTTCATTTTCATTTTCATTTTCACAGTGGTGTAAAAACAACTCTCTCAGGTATTTATCAAAGAAATTTGTTTGTCTTAGTTTGACTATCAGCATGCTTACAGAGATATTCAGAGAGGTTTGATACAGACAGAGACCAGAGACATTTTAACAGGAATCTTACTGTGATTGTAACATTTGAATGGGAGCGCTCTGTGGACTCAGGGGGCTTCAGAAAACACAATACAAAGTAAGAATTGCCCATGGCTTCACTTTGGCCACAAAACAATGCAAAGTCATCTCACTAGCTAAATGGTAAATGGACTTGAGCTTATATAGCACTTTTACAGTCTTCTGACTACTCAAAGTGCTTTTTCACTGCAGGTCACTCCTACACATTCACACACTGATGGCAGAGGTTGCCATGTAGTAAGACCATCAGAAGTAACTAATCTGATTCATACGCCGCCGACGAAGCAGTGGGAGCAATTCAGGTTAAGTGTCTTGCCCAAGGACATATCGGACATGTTGCTGCAGGAGCTGGGGATCAAACCCCCAACCGGACAACGACTCTACCAACTGAGCCACGCATGTGATGCAGATGTTGTAAAACCAATGAGTCATCATGTGTAATAATAGTGATCTCATTTTATGATAATACAGTTTGGTAACACAATCTGCAGTGTTTTGGCATCCATGCTCTGTTAGTCAGAAGTGAATTGTTTGGATTCAATTTCAACATCTCACAGGTACCTGTAGCAACACACCAACACCAAACCCTGTTTTTTTTTTTTTTTTTTACAACATAGGGTTGTCTTTTTTGTCTCAACGCCCACTAAGTCAAAACTTCAGTGAGTTTGATCTAGCAGGTCTCCCAAAATACTCCCATCCAGCAGAGAGAACTCCTCCACAACACTCCCGTCTGAGTTGTCTGCTGCTGCTTTTTCAAAAAAAAAACCTCCCCTATGCCCCCACTCCTTCAACTGAGGGGTATTTCACAAATCATACTAACTAGAAAATCCAGGATTATTTTTGTCCTGGCTTATTTTTTTTCTCAGTTGGTTCAAATGCAGTCTTGAAATGAACCAGTGTAAGTTGCTATAGTAACCAATCATTAAGAACAAATCTGGTGTTAAGCCGGCTTAAAGTCGAGGTTACAATAATGCCGTATCGTTACTTTGTGGCTTTAAACTTCAGCTTTGATCTTCTTTGATCACTGGCATGTAGAGCATTTTTTCCCTTTTCTAAAAGGCATGTATTTATCTTTAGCAAATTATTGCGAGCAACACTGGTTATAACTTCCCCCCCAGTATACTTAATCTTTCATCGTTGCCTCATTTTATTGGGGCTACTTGGAATTCACATAGAAGTCAATTAAATATAAAACTTTTAGATTAGCCTGCCAGTCATTATCAAGAAGGAAGTCAGCAACCCAAAAATGTTTTACAGCATGTTCCATCTTCTTAAGAATTTAATCTATGGGCTTTTAGCCGAGCAGCCCTCGTGGCCTCTTTTTTTAAACTGTCACAGGCCTGTTACAATGTGCTTGTACACGACATACAGCCAAAAAAACATTCCTGTTATTAGAGAGGATTGCTATTTTATTTTCTCCCTGCCATGTTGATAGTGCTGCTTTTAAGCAATGTGCACATTCATGTAATGATTCCTGAGTGTGTGTGTAGGAAGCTTTATAAATAACTCCAGTAATACTCTGATTAGGACTAAAAATACTCCTATCTTAAACTTTCACTGTGATTCCTGGGAGAGATTTTCTGAGATGTCTGATACATACAGAATTGTTAGAGTAACATACCCATATCTGCAAACAGCCACTTATTTTTAATCATATTTTGGCTTTAACCCCAGTTAAACTGGTGTTGCTGACAATGAGGGTCCAGTGTGTGACATATTTTGGCTGTGAGGACATGGTCTAAAATTAGCTCTGCTCAGATAATTCAGTTAAACTTTAACCAAGCTAATTTTTTCAGCAGAATATCTTTGGGATAATGAGAACATTGTGTCCACACTGGATATGATGGTGCCAGAAGTGTTGAGGTCAAGTTGGATGTTACCGTGTAGACACTTAATGATAGGATGTCACCTATGGAAGGCAGTTATAATGAGGAAACAAGACTGAAGGGAGAGGCAAAGGACGGTAAGGGTAAATAATGTGGTTTTTAGCTTGTTAAGCCTCATAAAGACATAGTGTACTTTATGTAGAACTATAGTAATACAAATGTGAGGGGGGTGGAATCTCTGATTGCCAATTCGACGGCCATTGTTATAAACTTCGAACTTGAATCAAAATAAACCTCATTTTGAAAAAAACCTCATTGATATGATTCTTCAATGTTCCTGAAACAAGTGTTTTCTTTACATTTTAAAGCATACTTTAGATGATTTTGCATCAAACCAATTCCAGTGCAGACCACATTATGCTTAGATGTGATAGATATAAATAAATATATATATATGTCAGATGGGCAAGTATCAGCTGAGAATACCAGCCAAACTATATATTGGTTGGGCACAAGAATCCGCAATTAAAAGTTGAGTGGATTGTTTGAGTCAACTTCATAAAGAGCTTTACAATAAAATAAACAAACATAATGTGTGTTAAATGAGCCATGTATGAAATTAACAGCTTGTGCTGGCATGCTTACAAACTAAATGTGTGTGGATAAGTGTACTCACTGTTGGGTGGCGGGGGTAGACCATCTGAACCCATGCTCTCTGATTCTATAAGGGGAAAAAAAATCAATTTGAACACCAGTTTGAAGCTTGTAATCATTTACAGCTGACTGTCTCTCACATAAAACAACTCAGAGGACAATCCAAGTTAATGCATTTTAATAAATACAATTATAGGGAAGATCCAAGTATGCAAAAGTCAACTGAGGAAGTAAATCCTCAGTTGAGGATCCTCAGATCAGGATGTCAAAAGTGAAAAAAAACAGTGAATTGTATATTTATAGTGTTTCATAAAGACAGAGTAGATGTAAGAGTGTCTTACCTCTGTGTGCTCTGACGTGTGTCTGAAAGCAGTTATAATACTTGTACTTTTTCCCACATACTCCGCAAACATACGAACCTGCATGAGAGTTTAAGAAGAGTAAAAAAACAAAAACAAAAGGGTAAGAATCTTCAGAAGTGCATGCATGGAGCATAGTTGATCATTACCACTGTGAATATTTAACTACCAAATTACTTCCAAACCAAAATCTTTCCAAAAAAGCCATTCATGCTTTAAAATCCAATTAAATATCACTTTCCATACAATTCCACATCTGATGAATCTGAGTTGTTTTTTTTTGTGTTTTTTTCTGAGCTTTCGTTGCCTAAAAGATTAGAATTACTACAAATCGGATTAATTGATCAAAATATGAATAATGAAAGTCAGGAGCCAAGATTGGTATTAGGAGCTGATCAAGGGATTTTTAATCGGTCAGTATGAGCGATAATAATCCATTTTCAAGCCTTTGTTTATTGTGCTCCAATTATGTGAGCGATCAGAAATGACAAATTTGTATCCAATGAAAACTTAGAATGTTATCAAAAACATCTTAGTTTTTTTTGTCAAATACTTCCTTATTAGATATAGCTATCTTAAACCGATGCTAAACTATAAGTAGCATTGATTTATAACTATTGTTAACTATCGTTTTAATTTTTTTTAACTTTTTTTGTAAACTGTTTCAGAGGGGTTGGTGAGGCTGAGATTGATGGTGCTTTTAGATTATTTGTCCTAAATTTAGATCGCAATCTATCATTTTATCCTCTTAATGTACATAATTGAGAATATGTGAAATATTAAAAGCAATAAATCCTTCTTGAAAGTAGAACTACGTCATCGCTGTTGTATTAGACTGCTTTAGTTTTGGGTAATTTTTCATAGTATGCAGCACATAAAATGTAGAAATAGAAGATTTGTGTGATTGTGCAAATGATTTCATAGGATAAATGGTCTAATGGGAACAATTATGAGAATTATCATAACCACCATGACCCAGGTTTTAGCAACACTAAAGCTGAATACAACAGAAGTTGAAGGTGGATTTCATTTGTGCCCACAGGATTGGAAAATGACATTTAAAAGAAATTCAAGAGCAACAAAACTCGACAACAACGAGTACATTTTATAAGAGGCCAGTTTGTCTGTAGAAAGTAGTTCCAATTAAAACGGCTTACAGCAGGGTCTGTGGATTATCTCAGTAACAAGGACATTGTATCTGGGGGAAAAAATACGCTGCTGCTGAATGTTTTTAAAATGTCATTTTTAAAAGCAGTGCAGTTTGTCTTTTCTTTGTGCCACTCAGGAAAAAATCTGGGTGAACTAGGCACAATACATGATTGCGGTGAGGGAGAATGTGTGTATCATGCATGTGATTAACAAAGGACAAAAAAGCAGAACATTTTTCAGAGCGCAGACTAGGGCCTGGCACGTATTCAAATTTTAACTGCACAAATATATAACCTACAGTTTATGTTTAAGAGTTTCAACACTTAAAGTTGTTTCATCAAGGTAGTTGATTTGCATCCACCAAGCAAAAGTAACTGTCAGGGTCTGGGGTTCCATCCCCCAGAGATTTCAAACAAAGAACTTTATTTCTTGCACGTTTTGCGAATTTGGCTTCATTTTCCGATGCTTAGTTACTCGTTTGTCTTCTATGTGTGTTGTTTTCACCACATTCCCGTTATATAAATATATATCCGTATGTATAATCACACACCTATGCATGAGTCTGTGCTCTTCGTTGGAGGAGGAGTACCAAGGGCAAACATACCCTCGATCTGAGCTCTACGGGATCCAGCTCCACTCGCTCCTCCATCAGTTCCTCCTAAAACAACACAGATCTCAGCAGGGTTGGCGTCACACACTTTCCCATTGCTCGTCTGCAAGGTTCCAGGTTCTGTCTTTACTGTGACAGGCTTTGGACAGGGGGGTAGACCAGGGGGTAGACCGGAGGGTAGACCAGGCGGTGGACCAGGTGGTGGACCAGGAGGTACACCAGGGGGTGGACCAGGAGGTAGACCAGGGGGTGGACCAGGCGGTGGACAAGGCGGTGGACTGGGGCTTTGGGGCTTTGGGGCTACTGTTGGTGAGGGTTCATCTGGGGCAGCACTACCAGTATCAGCCTGCTCATTCCCAGGATTGGGGGCCTCTGGTGCACTCATGACTCCACCTCCTCTGAGCCCGGGCTGCTGTAGCTGGAAAATAAACAAACAGAAGACAGAAAATGTGTTTACTTTGTTGCCTTCATGTCTGAAGGTAAGATGATGAATTATTTAGTAGTATACGGTTAAACAGATGTATGTTTTTAAACGACCAAAGCAGCCCAATCAATATTTAACGATTAAAACAATGTCTCTGGGTATATCTTGACCTGTACATCCCTTGGTACCCAAGAGCAGTCTGCACTGAACAAACATGGAAAGTTGATCATTTTCCGCTGACATCACATTCAGTGGTCCGATGGTCAAACGCAGCTAAAATGTTGCACCGTTGTGTTTCAAGTTGTAAGTTGTATTGTACTACATTGTAGACATTATGGTGTATTTCAAGTTAGAAAACATTTCTAAAACACATTCCCTACCGTCAGACAACAGCTAAGGTTAGCATTCTGTCACGTCCCTGTTAACAATACTGTTAGCCATGCTGAACGCTGACAGCTTTTGAAATGTGGAATATATGACAGTAACACTCTGAACAGAACGTAGTATCAGTGATGTAAACTATTGGTTTCTGTTGAGTTGTACTGAAGCGGACCGATAGCGGCTTTGATTGCAAAGGCTGACTCTACCAAACTTTCTAAGTGGAGCTTAGGCCGGCCTTAAGCCTCCTTGCTAACAGCTACAGCAAACCCATCTGAGGGTCAAATCAGCCATTCCCATAGTATCCATATTAAGGTGATTTTGTCCATTAAAATGTAGTTGTTTTTTCTGCTGACAGCACTGAAGCCCCTTCTTCAAAATCGCACGCTACTTCAACATCGCCCCCCCATACAGTGTGTATAAATAGACATTAGATATTCAGACCAAAACTGTTTTTTGTACCGGGCAGTAAACATGTTTAATTGTGCTGTAAAACGGGCCATATTAACATGGGTGTTTCTGGGACTTATTTGGCTGTTGGAGCCCGCCAAAGAACACACTCAATGAACTGCACTTCTTTGCAATTCCCCACTGGCTTAATTTTATTTCCAATGAGGGAGGATGCCACTTTATAATAACACATACCTTCAGACAGTCGCGTATGTCAACATTCAACCTCTTCCAATCTACCATTACACTAAGAAAGGAATTTACACCTTTCCTTTCTGCAAAAAAGTTAATGTTAGCCACAATGACAGCCAAATGAAGAGGCTCAGTGCCAACATCAGCTGTCTGATGGTATCTAATAAAATATCAAATATGTTGTTTTAACCTAAAATATGGAACTTTGCTGCTCCAGATTTTCTCTGTCTTTTCATTATCAATCAGTTGATGGTTAGATAATAATGAATGTTAGATATCCATACTACAAAACAAGTACAAAAGAAATACAAAAAGCAAGTTGCAAAGAGCACTCTGACATTATAACAGCTTTAGAGCTGCATACCATGACCTTGATTTTAGAGGAAAATGGCAGCCGTATCAAAATGGTGATTAGCCTGCATCTGACAACTACTGAAAGTATAGAGGAAAAAATCCAAATTGTGAGACAACCACCATTTTTTTTGATAAAACAGGGATGTGCTAAAAATGCACCGGAGTCACATTGGCCATTTATCTGAGCAAGTGTCATTTTGAGGACAGAAATAGCAGACACAATTTTCTAGTTATCCATGAAGCAAAAGGAGAGTGGCTTTATTTTTCATGAGTGACCTTTGATGGCATAAATTCCACAGCTTTGTGACATCCAAATGCTCTAATTTCGGAAATATCCAAATTACACAACTTGCCACTTCAGCACAAGGCTATAAAAGGCCCTGTCAAGAGAATGTGCTCGAAATGCAACCAAGCAAAACAGAGTTATGCCAGGATGACTGATATTATGGAAAGAGGGAAAATTGGTCTTCTAATAATAGCGCACCAATACAGCAACAACAAGCCTTTTCATTGCCCAAATACACCTTTCTTTGGATATGACACACAGCCAGGAGGCCTAATCAAATATGTCAGTGAATAAGATAATTTTGTATTGCTTGCCTTTGTGTGTAGATCCATACAAAGTCCTGTAAATGACCCAATAATACAGGGAGTCTGAAGGTTTATAGTTGTGTCTCCAACAGCCATTGTCTGGAACAAGCTTGATCATGGCTTTACAAATGTTGAGGTAAGTTAAGATGAAAATTGTGAATTCTGTATGACATTACATTTTCATGAGAACTCTGTACATTTCTGTAGTTCGTGATGATCCAAAGGGAAGTCTGACCTTCTGGTGGGAAGGCTTTTTATTGAAGTATTTTCACTCAAGCTTTTATTCTTTTTCAGTTCTGTCAAAAAGCTTAACTTTTGAATTTCCATTGGCTGTTCTGTTCATCAGTCTTGGCAGAGTCTGTGCTGAACAGTATAAAAAGGCGCAACTATGTACAACTGGACCAAAGTTGAGTAGAGATAATCTTTGTTTACAGTCACAGGTTATCTATCGCGCCTTGCTTTGCATTCAAACTTTGATGATAGAAATAAATACCGTAGCTTTGAAGAGAAAAATTCACCACACTTCTACACTTTACTAGGGGTGTTTATCCCGAACCATCACGGTGCAGACGTAAGGAGGAAAAAGGCAATCACACGTGACAATATCCACACCCCAATCCAGGAAACCGGAATGCTTGTCATTGATTGAAGAAGCAGACACAACACAAAACCCAAAGAAGAAGAGTAATATACAGCAGCAAAATGACAGGGCTGAACTAGTAGACCAGTCTGCATCTTTGAATTAGTCATGAGGGGAAACTTTGGGGTTCACAGTGCGGTATGTCATTGGAAACATGTCAAACATGCTAACGGATATTAGACTGCATCACCCAGATATGTCAATCCTCGCCGTTTTAAAAAAAGCCTCCAAATGTGAAAGCAGAGAGGGTCAAAGACATTAATGAACCACATGTATTTTTGAGGCTATGTGCACATACGCAGTGGTAGAAGACCCCGGCTTCAAGTTCCCATTAAACTGGCGTTAACTAGTGGTGATTGAGCATGAATACCTGCTGCACCCACTGTTCACTAACAACATATGAATGAACCTCCAGTGACCGCACACTTTATAAAACAGAAATATATTACATCAGTCTGCACAAGTTTCACATTTTAAGTGAAAAGCCAACTTCTCCAAATCAAAGACTTTGTTATCAATAATGTTTGAGAGGGACTCAGTAGAAACGTCACACTTTCTTTGTTAGTAGATAAGATCAAGCAACAGATCTGGTCAGAGAAAAGATGCCAAGGCTTATAAAACTTGGTTAAGTTAAACTTTTTTCTTTTTCTCACCACTGGTTTTCTTTTAAGAGGATTGGATGAATTGGTTGGAAGATAAGGATATCAAACATTGGATCGATCCAGGTTCTCATATTAGAGCAGACTGTTTTTCCTGTTCTTACCAGTTTATTTATTACATGACATTTACTATCATTTGGGTCTCCATGCCACAGCAGCAGCTTTACAGCACCAGTTTTACTCAGACAGAACAGTCAATGCAAAAATCAATGGACTGATCATTCTTTGAATCTAAAGTTAGAAATCAGAGAAAACCCTTGAAGTTGTTACACTTTTGACAACACAGTAGTCGAAACAAAAAAAGTGAATTTCTGCATTTCCACACTATGCGAATTAGGAAAAACTTTTAACCCTCACTTCAAGCCTGGGACTGAAATGGCTTTAAGGCTGCATTTGTGCAAAAATATTTGGACTCAGCAGAGTAAGTGGGCCATTTACTGTTTACGCAGCAGTGCCAAATTTTACATCCCAGTGACATCATAAACTAAATGGTCAGCTTTCCATTTTCTAGCTGAACTGTTTTGCGCACAAGTGAATTCTTGAAATGGTTGGCATTTTTTAAGTGCTCTGCCGTTGAGGGGGGAACGTTCTGTGTTTATAAGCAAGAAAATGCTCATAAATGTTGCAGACTGTAGGTCATGTTCCCATCTCTCTTTTGAGAAATATCTTTTGCATATGAACAGAACATACACTCAACAAAAATATTAACGCAACACTTTATTTTTGCTCCAATTTCTCCATGATCTCAGACTTTATAAAAGTACACAAAAGGACCATTTCTCTCGTTCACAAATGTGTTTGAATCTGTGTTAGTGAGCACTTCTCCTTAGTGGAGATAATCCATCCACCTGACACGTGTGCCATATCCAGATGCTGATGAAGACAGCATTATAATTGCACAGGTGTGCCTTAGGCTTTTTGTTGTTGTTGTTTGCAATAATAAATATCTCTAGCATGACAGTAGTTTCTCTCCGCTGGCTGGTTTGCTCAAGAAATTATGGTAAACTCTAAATTTTGTTATTCAGCCTGTTTTCCTTTTTTAATCTGACCACCTCAGTCTAAACTGTGGCGCTCAACCATGTTGACACATCCTATTTATTAAACCAATTCAACAAAGTCACACACGACTTATTCAATATAATATTCATCTTGATGAAAAAGCTGTCAAAGTTTTACATTAAGTCAGAAATAAAAAAAGACAGTCAGGCCAGCCTCCTCTGTCTCAGTCCTTTTTTTTTTTTTTAGATGTAGCCTAAAGGAAGCTACTGCAAAGCAGACATCACCATTTGGTACTCTTCTGGCAGAACACACACTGGCATTAGAAATGTCCAACCATGACAAGTCTAATCCCCCATGCACACAAAAAGCAACGAGTCATTATTGTTGTTGTTTTTATGAATGATAGAGTAAAGGCCTTTTGTCAGCTCAGATTGCTGCCTAAACCAACAGAGACATCATGGAGACACTAACTCTTAACTTCGATGATTTATCATTTTACTTCATGAATTATTAGCACATTCATTCATAAAACACATCCTGTATAATCCTGTCATTTACCACCTGATATAAATGATTTCAAATACAGTCTTTTAGAGATCTTGAGGAGCAGTCCTATTTAAAGGAAGGCTATTAAACAAGCTACCAAACAGCATTTGGTTCCTATTTTTAACACAAATCTCCTTAATAAGACTCATTTTAAATGTGGCCACTAAGCCTCACATACCCACGTA